TAACTTTTCATTAAATTTTTTTATATTTTTTGCAAAACGCTTTAAAACAATTACAAATTCAAACAATTATTTATTATAAACACATTTTATTTAAATTAAAACCCAGAGAATAGTAGCAATTAGGTGCCTCTAAAAGCATGCTTATTTTAAAATAAAAACATTTAAAATAACACAAGTTAATGTATGTGTTTTTATTTCAAGTACTGTTAACTTAATTTTATTAACATTTTTAGGAAAATCTGGATTAATACAGATTCTTTGAAATTATTATTATTACAGGCTTGGTCGGGAAGCGGGTGCGATTGCACTCGGTAACTGACCACGAAAATAATATTTAGTTGCCAAAAACCGGCCAGATTTTTTAGTTGTTTTGAGAACATTTAAGTTTATGTATGTTTCCTTGTTTGTCCGCAAAATATTAAGTTCATTTTATTGTAAATTTTAAAATATTTTGTTTATGGACTTACATAGAAACATACATAAACTTGATGTTCTCAAACATCTATGCGGAAACATAAAAAATATTCGTGAACATCTAACATCTAAGCGGAAACATAAAAAATATTCATGAACACAAAAAACCAGCCAAATCTACGAACAACTAATTCTAATGGTTCAAAGGACACTAACCGAAATTTCTAGAGTATTCAAAAATATATATAGTGTGTGTATTTTATTCAAATGTAATCTTTTAAAGCAATTTGTGCAATTGATTTTGTAAACAAAAATACTTTCAATAATAACTGCGTTTTAAATGAAATTATTAATAATCATCAAAGTTAATACAAATAATTTTAACCACTAATCCATTTTCCTCAGTGTACCCGATAACTGATTCTTTCCCCCAAGAAAGAAAAGTTTTTAAGTTTTAAGAAATTGGTTTACTAACTTCAATTATTTTTGCTTCAGCCATTCTTACAAACTCGTTATACTTAAAGTTACTTTTTTCTGTTTTAAATACTAGTTAAAATTATAAAGCCCACTCACTAAACATCATCAGCATTATTGTGAAGCAGTTCCGCTTCCTCCTCACAAAATAATTTAACATTTTTAGTTAATTGTTTCAAATGTGTTAAACTTTTTAAACTACGCGAAGCATAAAACAGTTATTGAAAAAACTTTTTATTTATAAATAAATCATCTAGCATTAGTTTTATTGGTTGAATCTTGTTGGACTTTTCAGGGCAGGGGGCTGCATTATTTTGGCGGCCTTTTTTATGTGCCACAACACAACAACACAAATTGAAGAACATTTGTTTCTTTATAGTTGTTACTTTATATAAAAAATGTTGCTTAATTTTATAAAAAAAATTATAAAAGAGCAACGTATCAAAAATAATTGCTCTAATAAATTTATTTTGCTTAAAGTTTTTTCGCGTTAAAAGTTAATTTTCTTTTTTTAACTGTCTCTCATCGGTCCAGTTAATCTTATTGCGCTTTTTTGTTTGTTTTTAAATTGTGTTCTCAAAACGACTATAAAATCTGGCCAGTTTTTCATAACTAAATATTATTTTCGTGGTCATTTATCGAGTGCGATTGCACCCGCTTCCCGACCAAGCATGATTATTAACAGAGTTGTATCCAATTTATTTTCAACATGTATGTCTGATAGGCATTCTTAATTCTTTTTTTTTTTTATAGTGGCCCTACAATCATTTTAATAATCAGTTTTAGTTTATTTCATCTTCTGTAACAGGTACTGGTTTGCGTTAAAAAACTAGAATGCATATAGATTGGAAAATAAGCTATAGATCCTTTGAGTATATTTAATTGAAAAAACCTAAAGTGTTTTTAGAAGTGAAAAATGAAGACTATTTTAAACTATTAAGATGTGAAATATTTTCCATAGAGTTGTTTCTATTTCAACCTTTAACTTTTACAGGTTCTTGATCTTTTAACTAGATGAATGAAAATTTTAACGAAACAATTTTTAAGATCCTAAATTTAAAATGAATTTGTAGAATAGAATGTCAAAGCTCAATGTTAAATTTATTCACTTCAAGCTTATGCTCAAAGAACTCATGGAAAAAAACTGCATATCCAGGTTTATTGTGATTTTGTTATCATCATTTGCTTTGCAAAAAATTGAAGGTAAAGCAACAGCCTTAGAGCAGCAGTAATTTCTAGTTGTCATTTTGCAATTAATTTCATAGAGGCAATCTGAGTTGAATGTCTTGTGTCAGAAAGCTTGTAGAGCAAAATTTTATGTTTAGCGGGACTGCAGCTGAAAAATTAAAGAACTTGGATTTTTATTTATTTATAACAATAATCAATGAGACTTATACATAAAAAGTTTATTCATAATGAAGGAAAACAACATCAGGCTTTCATATGCTGATGATTGACATTGCTGATGAATTGATGCATTGCTGCAGACAAAGTAGCATTAAAAAAATACTTTTAAAAAAGTTTACTGTAGATAAATCAATTACATCATATGCTAATTTGCAACACAGTTTTTAAATAAGTGCTGACATTTAGGTAACCTTTGATTAGTTGGGGTTTTAGACAGGTCATTTTTATTTAATTATATGCTGAGTTTGATGAGAAAATAAACCGTAGGAGTTTAAGATGTAAAAGTAACTACAAGATTGTTAATTTTGAAAATAATGCAGTTTGTAAATTTTGATTAAAAATTGTTAAAATATTTAATAACTTAAATTAAAATTATTAAAGAACATTTACTGAATGTTTAAAATACTTCAAATAAAATTTATATATGTATATACATATATATATATATATATATATATATATATATATATATATATATATATATATATATATATATATATATATATATCAAGGCTTGCTGGGAAGTGCATGCAGTCACATGCCTTGTTCATCTATGTTCAAAGTAATTTATTTAGAAACACTGACCATGGCAGTTTGCATTTTTTAACTTTTAAAACATTTCAATAATTCGTGGCAAATAGCTAAACTTATCTACTGAAAAAATACAAACCAATGCTTTCAACATTTTATAACAACAATTTTATAATTTTATAACAACAATTGAATGTTTTAATTTGTAAATTATTCCTGATTTTCAAGAAATTAATTTGTTATGTATGCTATAACTATGAAAACCTTTATTCATTTTTTTTCTTACTTTTAATCAAAAATTTTCTTTTTTTTTTCTTCTTACTTTTATTGTCTTTTAGCTTTTAAAAATTTTCTTGCTATATTTAACATTTTTTATACTATAGAAAAATCAGAAAATAAATTGCTAACTGTAAAATATATTATATCATCTATTTGTAAAATATATTTATTTGTAAAATATATAAAATATTTTACAAATAAATATATTTTATATTTTTAAATATATTTTTGTTTAATTTCTTCTGCCATTACAAAATTATTCAATCTAATATAATTTGATTGATAAATTTTATAATGACAGATGAAATTAAAAAAATAAAAATTAAAAAAATGTGACTGCAGGCGCTTCACGGCTTGTATGTGTGTGTGTGTATATATATCAGGCTTGGACAGGAATGGCGTGCGATCGCACTCTGTAGCTGACCACGCTAATATTTTTATTTCTTTACAACTTGACCACGGCTTTTTTGATGTTTTAACAATTTGAATGCAATAAAAAAGGGTTACGTTATAAATATCTTTTAATCGTTGATCTTTTCTAAAGTTTTTTATTTTACGCAAAGGCTTTAAATAAAACCATAAAATTAAATATAGTTATTGTTTACATAAATGCTTGTGTAAATTAATAAAAAACATTACAAGTTTTTTTTATGTAGGCATTTATTTTTTATGATAAATTTAAATGTTTGAAACTATTTTCTTATTTTTTCCTAAAGTATTTTTAAACCATTATTTTTAGAAAGAATTTTTTTAAGTTACTTTAATTTGTGAATAAGTTCAAAAGCTATTGTGACTACTAACTTTTACACATTTTATGTGAATTACACAAGAATATAAAATAACTTTATTTACTAATATAAGCATGTACTTTGCTGATTTAATGAAAAAGTTTTAAAGCATTTTGTAATGTTCATACGATTAACTTTTATGATTAAATTTACGATTTTTTAAAATGTTTTAAATAAACATTTTATTTTTTGTAAACAATTTTTTTTTTCTATTTCGTTAAAAATGAATAAGATTAAATATTTTATAATAATTTTTAAATTCGTTACGCGAAGCGCTTATTTATAAAGTTGTAATGCTCAAATTAAAATTAAATTAAAAATTTTGTTGGCAGTTTATTTTATTTAAATCGCAGGCGCATTTTATTTATTTATTTTTTTTTTCTATTTTTACGACTAAAAAAGTTCAAAACATTTTTTTTAATTAGACTCACTAATTAGAGCATGAAATTAGTAAAAATTACTATTTTAAAAAGCCTACGTTATTTTTTTTAACAATTTATTTTTTGCAACTTTTTTGACAAAATAAATGTTTATAAAATTTAATAATATTATATAAAACACTTTTTAATAAATTTAATAAAAATTGTTCTTTTATTAAATCAATCATTAGTATTAATTTGTTACTTAATTTAAAATGTTTTGCGTAGCTTTAATAACCCTTCAAAATTTAAGTTTTAATAACATTTATTTCTTACGTAATTAAAACGTAAGTTTTTATTTTAATTTTAGTGCTTATAACTTCTTTTTCGTTATGAATTTGTTTTTCGTTTCTTTTTTCGTTAGGAATATTTTTTTCGTTTAATTTTTTTTCTAGTTTAAGTTTAGCTTAGCCTTTCAACATTCAGAACATTTCTGAAATTTTTAACTTATCAAAACATATAAACATTGTTGATTAAACAATTGTGGTCAAGTTGTCAAAAAATAAAATCATTTGCGTGGTCAGCAATAGCGCTCAATTGAACGCCATTCCTGTCCAAGCCTGATATATATATATATATATATATATATATATATATATATATATATATATATATATATATATATATATATATATATATATATATATATATGTATATATATATATAAATATTAAATTAAATAGATTACTGTCATAGTTGCAATCTTCCAAAGAAACATCTTGATTTCCCTTAAACTTTATCAATCCAAAATCTGTAATCTTGCATGCCCATCGACCATCTATTACACAATTAGATGATGTTAAGTTACCATGAACCCCAATTATGGAATTGTGAAGATAATGCATTCCCTAATATTGAATACAAATATTATTAATAAAAAAAAGAAAACTTAAAACAAAACAAATTGTAATTGTTGATCAATACAGTGTTTTATATAATTAGTAGAGCAAATAATATAGTGAAAACTAAATAATTATTAAGATATATTTCAATTACACAACTAAAAGTTTCACGCAATAGCGATCATTAGATGTAACAACAATAAAAAAGTAACGCATATATATCTATATATATATATATTTTTATATACATACAAACACACACACACATATATTTATATATATATATATATATATATATATATATATATATATATATATATATATATATATATATATATATATATATATATATATATATATATATATATTATACATATATATATATATATATATATATATATATATATATATATATATATATATATATATATATATATATATATATATATATATATATATATATGTATATATGTATAGGTATATATATATATATATATATATATATATATATATATATATATATATATATACAATATATATATATATATATATATATATATATATATATATATATATATATATATATATATATAACACATAAATATATATATAACACATAAATATATATATATAACACATAAATATATATATTTCTGACTTTTTTATATATAACTTAATAACTTAAAATAACTTAATGCTTGAAAAATAACAAAATCGTAATCCTATTATAAAATACATTCAATCAAAATCAATGCATTTTTAAAATGGAAACAAAAATAACTAATATTTAAATTACTAGCTAAGGTAATAGTTCAAAATATTTCCTGCATGCACAGATTTCAATTCAATTAAAAAAGGAAGTTTGATACCATTAATTTAATTTTTAATTTTTTTTTTACTAAAACCTATCAAAACAAATTTTATAAAATATTTAAAAAATCTAAACTGAATACTTAGAACTGAAAGAAATCATTTTGTGAAATGCATATATACAATGTATATATATAACAATTACTTAAGTTACACAAAACAAAATTTCTACTGAAAATGTATTTTCAAATTACAGCAATTACATTTCAAATTAAAGCAAAATACATTTTGCTTAATTTTTTGATTAATAGGAAAAAAAAGAAAGCATATGCCGAATTGATAATTTTAAATTTATTTTAAAATATCTTTATTCATTGTTAAAAATAAATTTGCTCATTTCAATGATTTTGTAAATTGTGGGAAAAGCTACAAAAAAATAAAAAATAAAATGAAAAGATTAAAGAAAAAGTACAGTCGGAAGACAAAAAGTACAGTCGGAAGACAAAAAGTACAGTTGGAAGACAAAATGTTTTTAGTTACATACAACTAATAACAAAAACAAGGTTTTTTTTAAAGTTCAATCTTTAAATTTAACAATCATTAAAATAGATTAAATTTTATATATCATTTTATATACTTTATATTTTTTATATATCTGCTCATTAAAATCATTTAAAAAGCTACTAATTTTATCATTGGTAATTATTTTTTGCATCTCACAAAACAATCGTTTTGAAAAAATAATTACCAATGTTACATAATACAAGTTTTTTACTTTATATATTTTAACTAAATCTATATATATATATATATATATATATATATATATATATATATATATATATATATATATATTTGTGTATATATATATATTTGTGTATATATATATATATATATATATATATATATATATATATATATATATATATATATATATATATATATATATATATATATATATATATATATATATATATATATATATATATGTATATATGTATATATGTATATATACATGTATAAATATTTAGTTATGATGATCTATTTTGTAAATAATTAATTTCCATTGTATTGATCACTCTAAAAAAACGTACAAGTGGCTTTGTATCTCTATTTGGTACAAAAAAACTTGCCACAATATTTAGCTCCGTATGTTGAGCACTCTACTCAAGTCGTCTTCGAAATGAAAAAAATTAACTTATAATATTCAGCCAAGAACATACCATCAATTCCATCAATAAAAAACTACAAGTTACAATTAATCGAAAAGACCAAAGCATCAGTAAAAAAAATGAGGTGGAGATTTTTCTTTATTAACAAAGATCAAAAAAGTAAGAGTAATATTTTTTATAATAGTTATAATAAAAACAGCAAATCACCCTGAACAAATTACTGAAATGTCCACATTTGAAAGTGACCTAATAGAAATGATAGGAAATATTAGGTTTCGTAAAGTTTATAGCAGTTTCCAAAGAAAATTAAAAGATGACATATCTAATATACGCAATTGTAATCTCACTTATACTTTTTAAAGAAATCTATTAACTTATCTAAAGAAAGCTATAACCTTTTATTAACCAATGCAATAACCTCAAAGTACAAAAAATCAGACTTAAAAATTAAAAATGATATAAATAAAAAAGGTAAGCTTATTTTGCAGAATCATGAAGTTTTCATTAAAATAGACATTAACTCATCATCCAACTGCTTTTTTAAAACACAGTAGCTGTGGGTAAACATATATATATATATATATATATATATATATATATATATATATATATATATATATATATATATATATATATATATATATATACATATATATATATATATATATTCATATATATATATATATATATATATATATATATATATATATATATATATATATATATATATATATATACAGCTACTGTGTTTTGCCAGAATCTTGGATAAAGTTGGCCAAACACTTGCTCAGCTGTGCAACAAATTACTACATAAGTAAAAATTTTAATATTAATGTTCAAAAGATTGTAATTTAACATTCAAGAATTTTTTGGTGGAATAGTTCACTATTCATCATTAAATAAGATTTTTTGTTTTTTCTTATAAATTGTTATGTTTTTATTTGTCAGGGATGATGTTTGAAGGTATATTCCAAAGTTTAGGACCCTAGTGGGATAAAGCTTGTTTACCATAACGATTGCTGCATTTTGTTTCCTTTAATATATAGTGTTCTTTCTGACATTGAGTAGTGAATTAAACTGCATAATGACATTGATGCTCCCGGAATAATAAATTTGTGCATTATTAAAAGAACCTTTAAATATATTCTTACTCCGATTTTCAGCCAATGCAATTTGTTAAATTCCTGGTTGTTTACATGATTTTCTATTCTAGTTTTAAATACCATTCTTGCTGCGCAATTTTAAACAGACTGCAGTTTTTTTACTTCTGACTTTTCAATTATCAAGTAGAAGGAGTTGCAATAATCTAGCAGTGCAAATACTAGTGAACATACTATGGTGCACAAATCTATGTGCGATAAAAATTTTGGTATATCTAAGACTAGTGCATTATATTGAGATGAAGGAAGGAATGCTTTTAGAGTTTGATGATCATCTGAGTATCCAAAGGTTTTAACATTGATTATGTTCAGATATTTGTAAAGTGATCTCATATAGATATTAAAGAGTTTTGGACCCAGGACTGTATATTGTGATGTTCCGTATTTTACATTTTAGTTCGTGGAATATGAGTTACCAATTTTAACATTTTGTGTATGGTTAACTAAAAATGATTCAAACCACTTGTGAGTTGAGTCATAGTAGTTGAGTAATAGTCCAAGTAATTTTTGCTGATCAATAGTGTTGAAGGCAGCACTTAGATCAAGTAGCATTAGTACTGAAGGTGTATTTTTATCAAAGAGTTCAAATATATCATTGGTAAGCTTCAGTATAAGTGTTTCAGTTGAGTGATACTTTTTGTATCAATATTGATGTTCTATATGAAGATTGTTTGTTGTAATGTGGGAATCAAGACAATTAGAAACTACTCTTTCTATTAACTTGCTAATGAATACTAAATTAGAATCTGGTCTATAATTTTTGAAGTCTTCAGTATCTATGAGAGAGTCTAACCTCTTTATTATTGGAAGTAATGAAGCACTTTTTAAACAATCCTTGCTGCTTGATTCTAGCGATAGGTTTACTATTTCAACCCATATATGTATGTTTGTAAATTATTCTGTAGTAAATATGCTGGAACCGGATTATCAGAAGAACATTTTACTCCAAATTGAAATGGTGATTTTGTAAATTTCTTTGTATGTCGTTGGATCAAAATTTCTTAAAAACTAACAATTATAATTTGATGTGTTTTTCTTTGTTTGGGATATTTGAAGACCAGACCTGAGTTTTTGGATTTTTTCAGTAAAATAATTAAGTTGTTAGCTAGTTTGGAAGTACATATTCTTGAGTTTTATCTAGTAGCTTGTTTACCAATGAGAATAGATATATGTTCTTTTTTTTGTATATTCTTTTTTTTATATAAGCAATTATTGTTGTTTTTTCCCAGAGGCGTCTATATTCTTTTTTACAACTTTCATTTTTTGTTCTCTTTTTTTCATTTTTTGCTCTCTTTTTTTATGCTTTTCTTCATTTTTGTCTGAGTTTCTCTGTCAAACGAGTTTTGACTATTTTTACTCACTTTATTTTCAAAGTTTCTGCACAATCTCTTTCATTATTTGGTTATATACGGTTATTTTTTTAAAAATATTTTTAGTTGATATTTCTGGTTTATTTCTTGATATTTCGTTGTGAAAGGACTGTATGTCCACTGTTTTTAAATTCCTGTTATGTATTTGCATGCTGTTGACACTATTGTTTCAAGTAAATTCATGAACTCATCCAGAAATGTTATGTGAGAGACAAATATTAGTTTATAAATGCAAATTAAAATTAATGATCTTTTGGCTAAAGTAATTTTAACACATAGATTTTCAAAGGAGTGAAATTATTAATTTGGTAGTTGTTTGTGCTTAATTGATTGTTTTAACATAATTCCTACCCCGCCACCTTTTTCTTTACCTCTTTCTTTTCTTATTTTGTTTCAAAAAACATATATTTAATTTTGTATCATTGCTGTTTATTGTTTTTAGAAGTCATCCATGTTTCGGTAATAAAAATGTCTGGATTCTGGTCAAGTATATG